GAAAAATAGCAAGGCCATCATCCCCAAGGAAAAACATACGGTATTTGTATTACAGTTATGATTAATTTTCTAATGTGTGACTAAGCATGCAAACAGAGCCACCCAAAGTAACTCAGCAACATGACTCTACTGTCAAAGGTGGAGTACCCAGAGCTGGTGCTTTGGTCTTCTCCTAGGAGCGAGCCTGTGGTATTTGCGGTGCAAGCCCAGCACTTTGAATCATCTTATAGATGTTGAATTATTTCCTGGTTCATTGTTTTTTTTTTTTTTTTTTTTTTTTTAATAATTAAGCTGCATCCAACTTTCCTCTAGCGTTGTATTTTTATTTATTTATTTATTTCTGCTTTTTAAAAAAAAATATTTATTTATTTATTTTGTGTGTGTGTGGCCAGCTCAGCCCACCAGGGGGCGGGGCGGGCTGGCATGTGGTGCTGGGGATTGAACCGCGGTCCCTGCGCTTTGCTTAGCTTAGCTTGTTCTAAGTGAGTGCTTTAGACCACTGAGCCATCTCACCAGCCCTCATTGTTATTTTTAATAGATCTATCCTGTTCTGCTTGCTAGCTGCAATGATATCTTCAAGGTTTGAAAGCCTATCTTCAGTTTCATTCAGACAATTTTGCCAACTTTTAATGGAATTTTTAATTTCCTATATATCTCTCTGAGTCTGTTGCAGACAATCTCTCTCCTACATACCTCATTCAAAGTTTCCATAATTTTTCTATACTCCTCTATTTTTTTAAATTTTATGTTTGGTACAGGGTCTCACTACAAAGTTCAGATTCATAGTGACCCTCCTGCTTCAGTCACCCAAGGACTGGGATTTCAGGCATGCGCCACACACCAGGACTTGATGGCCACCTAGTGTGCCTGGGGTGGGACCAGCATGGCATGTGGTACTGGAGATCAAACCCAGGTCCTTGCACTTGCCTAGGATGGTGCTTAGACTGCTGAGCTATCTCCATGTCCCTACTCCTCTATTTTTTTTTATCAATGTCTTTTTTTTTTTTTTTAATTTATTACATTTATTTATTGTGTGTGTCTGTGGCCAGCTCAGCCCACCAGGGGGCAGGTCTGGCTGGCATGTGGTGCTGGGGATCGAACCGCGGTCCCTGTGCTTTGCCAAGCTTGTTTCAAGTAGGTGCTTTAGACCACTGAGCCATCTCTCCAGCCCCATCAATGTCTTTTTTATATATTATTAGTAATTTTTTCACTATAGTTATCCTTTTTTTTACCTTAGAGATTATTTCTGATCTGATTTAGTGTATATCCATCTGGAATTGTTTACTTTCTTCAATTGCAATCATTTTAGAGATTTCAGGTATGTGACTCTGAATTTCTTCTATGTTGGTATTTCCTAGATTTTTTCTGGGTTGGCTGGGGACCTGAGATTGCATTTTGCTCCTCTATTTTGTCCTTTTGTTTTTCAGAAGGAACTCTTGATTTTGATTTCTATGATACTTTTTGTGGAATTTGGATAATAGTAGTTATATCATTGCAACCAGAGCCTCTCTATAAAAAGTCTGTTCTTCAAAGATGTCATCTGTGTGTCAGCGTTTTTTGGTTTGTGTTTGTCCCAAGATCTTGCGTTCCCTATTGATTGAGAGTGGGATGTTGGTTGCCATTTGGCACTGTCCTTCATCCTTTGTGGTATAGCGCTTTGGTAAGGTTATTACCTCAGTGCTTCCCAATATTATTACAAAGGAGAACATCTAGTTAAAATAGATATAGTATCCTAGTTACAGTGGTACAACTAGCAGTCGTAATAGCAGCAAGTGAAATTCAGAAATTGACAAACTTTGATAGCTAATGGTTTCGTACTTCAACCACAAGAACAAACACCGTGGTTCTGTAACACAACAGATCACATGTTGAGAATCTGTAAAGGAGTTCCCCTGAGTTCTGTTTGGGCACCTCCCTACCAAGTGCCTGCAGTCCCCTGAGCTCCCTCCTGCCGCCTCTGTGCATGGAGTCTGGGCCCGCTGGGCCTCACAGCTCACCTGGACTCTGTGCCACCAGTCCACATGGTGCAGCGGGGCCTACTGGTCACATGGACCCCACCCCCTCTTTTTGTTTCTATATTAATTTTAGGATTGCTTTTCTCATTCTGTGAGGAATATCTTTGGAATTTTGATGAGGATTGCATGGAATCTGTATTTTTTTTTAAGAAACAAATCTATGAACCAGTTTTATTTTATTTGCATTTAACATGATTATACACATTCATGTGTCTAACAAGATCTGCACTGTGACATTAAAAATACAGTACAATAACATTCAACATGAGGTACTTCATATTTATATATTTTCCTTCATAAATAATGCTGTAAGCTGCTAAAATCAAGCACTCTGATGCCAAGTGGCTATAGTGCCTTGAATTAGCTGAGTTTAAACACCTTAAAAAAAATAAAACAAGACAGTTCAGTGCAATCAACATGAAAAAATTAGACCATTTACTTAAATACTATTTTAAGATATGCTTAAAGAATGTTACATTAGAACTGCTAGTCTAATTACCCTTTTTACCCCAGTATGAACAGACTGCGAGATACATTGGGAAAAGCATCTATAGCATAGATTAATAAAGTTGTATTTATACATTAGAGTTGCTTGCCTTGTCAGAACAATGGTTTTTATTTTTAAAAGCTACCAAATTGAAAACTACCAAAAAAAAAAAAAAAAGTGACAAACCCAAAGCAAACACATTAGCTTTCATTCCATTTTGCTGAAAATGCAGAAAAGAGAATAGGGTTCAAAATATAAAATTTCTTACACTAATACAATTTTCAAATTTTACCAACAGCTCTTGGCGCAGGCCAATCTGATGGTGGATGCAGGTGTAATGGGTATAAAATGAAGCGGAAAAGGAGTGTATGGGCTCTGGCGTGGCTCCACCCCCACAAGCCCCAGGCCTCCAGCCTCACTGGGGGCAGCTCAGTCGCCGGAGCACCCAGTGCAGTGGGCGCGTGGTGCCACTCTAAGGCTTTCACATCCACCTGACCAGGGGACAGGATAAAATGGTGCTCATCCTTCTTCTCCTCTGGCTTGGAACAGTGCCTTATCAGACCTACCAATTAGCATGGTAGTGCTGAGTTACTGAAATATGTAACCGTAACTGAAAAACAAAATCTTTGAAGAAGCATTTTGAATTAAAACTGTGCCTCTATTTCATTGATGCTTTGCCAAAACTACCTGTAATCTCCCTAATAAAAAAACAACTATTCACAGATGTAGATAATGGCAAATGTGGCTGAAAACATTTCTCACAATCCAGTGTTCTCCTCTATCAGGGCAGCTGGCCAAAGGCAACAAGCCCCAGTCTTCAGGGGAGGAAGTGGCCCAGAAGCACAATGAGGACGAGCCGTCAATCCTCGGACCTCGCTAGGGTCAGCAGGGGACCGTTCCTGGCCCACCTTCCACTAGCCAGGCCGGGAGGCGATTCCTGAGTCGGCATCTCACTCCATGCGCACTGCAGCGCAGGCACACACACACCCCAAGACTAACTCCTGATCCAAACAAGCCAGTTTCAGGCTTGGAGCAGGAGAAGGAGGTGGCCAGGGACCACACTCTAGGTGGCGGGGAAGCCATCTCAGGACCACACTGAGCAAGAAGCTGCCAGAAACACATGGATACTTCACCAGGCAGGGTCACAGGACGCTGCAAGGTCACAGGCACTAAACCAACGCAAGCCATCACTGAAGGAGAATTTCTAGCGAGCACCTCCCTCCTATGCTTACATTAATTATCCTTGGACAAATGAAAGAGCTGGAGTGATGCTGATGCGGTGAATATTAGGCATAATCAAGTGTGTCACTCAAAAACCCTGCAGGCATATATTGGCACTTTAAGACGGCCAGAGGCCAGATTCTAGCAGTCCAACAAGACAGAACTATAATCCACAAATAAGATCGAACAATGGTCAAAAATCAGGTAAACTATATTTCAGATTAAAAACAAACACTGAATAAACTACTTATCGCATTGACATGTAGTGCTACAAAACTGGTACTCCCTTCCTCTAAAGAATTGTTTGGTCCTCCTTTAATGGGCAGAAAGGGAAAGGAATCTGTATTTTTTGACAATATAACTATTATAACAATGTCAGTGCTGTCATTCCATGTGCATGTGAGGTATTCCCAGCTTAAGGTCTTTCTTCTGTATTATGTCATTTTCACTTTATTTTTTTATTATTTTATTTTTTGTAATTTTCACTTTAGAGGCCTTTTGCCTCTTTGGGTTGATGCCTAGTTTATTTGTAAACTATTGTGAATAGAATTTTTCTACTGATTTCTTTCTCAGCTCGTTCATAAAGGTATACAACATAGGGTGGGCCAGATAGCTCAGCGGATTAAAGCACCTGCTTAGGCTGATGCAGGGGTTGGAGGTTCAATTCCCTGGCCTGCTTAATGGACATTTCTGCATTACAAAACACTGAAAAATTTATATTGGTACAGGACACATCAAGTTACAAGCAGTAGGACATCTAATTACAAAAATATTAAATTTATCTCCTTGAACTTACTCTGATTTTACCATTACATTATTCACACATATGAATTATCACAAGCCCCATAAATTTATGTTATTTACAAATAAATAAGGAGAAAGAACATTAGGTTTATAACTATGCAAAACAAAACAGCAATAGACAAAACTTGCTTGCCAAACACAGTGTCTCTGTGCAGTAAACAAATTTTATTTGCTTGAGTCTGATAAATCATACAGCTCTCATGCATTCATTAGACTTTTGCAAATCCAGGCTCGGGGAGAGTCCTGCCTGCTGTGCATGGGAAGTGCTGTGGAGAGAGCAAGGACTGACAGTTCTGGCCCCAGAAGAGCACTGCCAACTCCACTGCCTCTGGCGCTCAGCCTAGCACATCCTCCTGGAGCAGGCTGCACTGCAGGCTCGCACAGGAAGCTATGCTCAGCCTCCCCTTCTGTGTGCCCCGAGGGCAGTGTCCCATGCTGCCACCAGCCTCCTCCACAGAAGCCCCAGCCCCACCATGAAGGCTTTCCTCCTGGTATCTGCTTTTTTCTTCCTCTGGGATCCAGGGCTGACAGGTAAGATGGCCTGTTCCTAAGGGGGAAGTGGAGGCTTCATCTGTTGACCCTACTGAGCAGTATTATAAATATGCTCCCTCCAAGAGCTCCTTAGTTCATAAAGTAGAAAAGGTATCACTAAAGTCAATAGCACCTGATTTCAGATCTTGGCTCTGCAGCTTGTTCTCTGGACAAGGGTGAACTTCTCTGAGCCAGTTTCTTCAATATGGAAATTCTTACAATATAAAAATAATAACTGTGTGCCCTCACGAGGATTAGAAGGGGTAACATCTAAAATGTATATCATGCCACTGTAGCTTTATCTCTGCTTCAAGAACATATCCATGTATAAAGTCGGAACCAGCAAACAATGAAAAGCCATTTTGCCAATTTCTAAGGTACTAAAATGGCTGATCATTACTTTACCATTTGGAGATCCCTAGGCACAGGAAGAGACAGTTTTAGACCTGTTCATTCCAAGAGACTCACTGGGATCTTAGTGATAGGAGGAATGTGTGATCAGATGAGGTAGCCACTAGGGGACATGAAAGGCAGCATGACTGGTCTCCAATTTAGAAATCTCATCTTGAATATTCTCGTTGTTGGCTTTTATTGAGTCCATCAAAATCCCCATGTTGGCAAGTGCCACTGCAATTGTCTATTCTCTCTCTCGTCTGGACACATGAAACAGATTTTTCACATCCTATGACTCAAACCAATAGGACCCAGGCTCTCTTGAAGCTGTTGATGGTGCCAACTCCACTATGGCTTATGGCAGTAGAATTGTGGGTCCCAATCAAGAGCTGCAGGTAATCTGCAGTATTCCTGTTGTGCTTTATACATTCTCAGAGCTTGTCGTTGCTATAGGAATTTCTTGTCTCATTCTACAATCACTATGTTTTATCTTCCAAAAAGTTTTACAGAATATCCACTTGGGCTTCTATCTTGCCAGCAAGTTGATCTCTTCTGACTTAGATAAGGTACACATTGCTCAAAATTTTTACAGATGAGCAAATATTAGCATTATTTTCATCTTAATGCCTTATAGCTGAAAAAGGAAAGCCATTTATTTTTGATTGTTCTAAGAGTAGCAGAGCTAAAAATTGGTAAACTCATCTCAACTGCTTTGACCTAAAATAAGATTCCCCGAATTATAAATGATGTCAGCCTCCTTCAAACTCACCAGGCCATTCTATGTTGTAAGCACCTCACGATGCTTGAATGTTTTGCCCCCAGAGATATTCCTGGGTTTTTTTTCTTTTCATGTAGACTGAAAATTCATTCTTGCTAAGACCTATATCATATTCAGATATGTACCTCCACCATCCTTGACTCACAAGATTCATGAAAACTGGTTTGAAGACTGGGTAGGGTGGTGCATGCCTGTAACCCCAGCTCTTGGGAGGCTGTAAACAGGTAGATCACTAGGAGTCTGACTAGTAGTGAGACCCTGAACACCCTGTAGACCCTTCCCTAAAAAATAAAAGAAAACTGGTTTGAGAACAAATAAATAATACTGAGTGAGCAATTAGTAAAAGAATGAGTGGATGCCTGAGTACATAGCTAACTTGATTATTTGGATTCTGGTTTCTTTTTTATTTTCTTTTCTTTCTTTCTTTCTTTCTTTTTTTTTTTTTTTTTTTTTTTTTTGCATTTTTTGTGATTTTACTGAAGCACAAATAAACACGCACACAGGCTGTCTACTTGGTTTTTTTGCTGCGCAGCCTGGCATTGGGATTGGTGACCTGAATGGCTAGCTGGGTTGCTCTTTCCACGATGGCCTTGAAGGTCTTAGAGGAGACATTGTGAGCAATCTCTTCACAGTAAGACTTGTTGCACATCAACAGTACCTCCAGCTCCTTAACATTGTGCACCAGGAACTTCCGGAAGCCACCGGGCAGCATGTGCTTTGTCTTTTTGTTACTTCCATAAACTGTGTTGGGCATCAAGATCTGGCCCTTGAACCTCCTCCGCACCCTGTTGTCGATGCCTCTGGGTTTCCGCCAGTTGCGCTTAATTTTGATATATCAGTATAACTGGTGCCTGATGAACTTCTTGGTCCTCTTTTTGATGATCTTGGGCTTCATGAGGGGTCTGAGGGCCACCAAGGTGCCAAAAGGGAGATGGCTGCCACCTCCGTAGGCAGCGCCAAGGGAGAGAGCTGGATTCTGTTAATGAAGCAACTCAAGAAAGCTCCCAGGCCACTGGTTGTCTAAGTTCAAATGCCACTGCAAACCACCAAAGGCGGCATGGTTTACACAAATTTGTCCTCACACAGTTCTGGAAACTGTAAGGCCACAGTGCGACACTGGCTGATTCCACTTCTGAGGAGGACACTCACTCTCCCTAAGTGGAAAACAGCCATCTTCTCACTGTGTCCTCCACAAATAAACCCATCATTCCAGGACAGGAAGAGGCTACCAATCTCACTAGATGAAGTCTTGCCTTTATGGTTTCGCTTAACTTCAGCTATCTCCTAGAGGCTCTGTCTCAAAATCCAGTCACATTGGAAGTTAGGCTTCCAACACACAGGTTTTGGGGCAAAACAGTTCAATCCATAATACTAGTTAATACATTTTCCATTTCAGAATCAATTGTTGTGATCGAGTCTTCTTGGAATTCAGTGGGGCAAAGCTTGAAGGACTGAAGTCATTCAATTATCCTGTAGTGAATTATCTTTCCATGCACTTTTCTTATAGGTTTGAATCCATTCTCATCAGAGATTTACAAGCAATGTTATAAAAATGGAACCTGCAGGCTGGAGTGCTATGGCAGTGAGATGCTGGTTGCCTACTGCATGTACCAGCTGGAGTGCTGTGTCACCGGAGACCCTGGGCCCTGACTCACGGGGGCAGTGAGCACACACTGATTTGAAAACTGCCGGTCCTCCTATCTTTTACAAAGCTAAGGGGTTCAGATTAAACTAGGACATTGTGATGTGCTCCCAGTATTGGCTCTCAGTACTTTTTTCTAAATCCCCCAGAGTTCTCTGATTTTGGATTGGGAGGGCAAGCGGAAGCCTCCTTAAAACTTGAGGGCAGCGTCTCAAGAAGGAAACTGCATATTTTTTCCTCACTTCCAAGTGCTATCAGTACTTTCTCCAGTGCCTATTTCTCTGCGTAAGCACAGAAGTGATGTCTTCTTTACTTAGTCTTCTTTAGCATCATCTCTTTATACAAGGGGTCCTGCCCTGCTACCTGTAAAGGAAAAGATCCTGCTGGCCCTCTGGCAGTCTTCGCATGTCTTACACAGACCTCACTGGCAAGGGTTAACTGCAGGATGACTCAGCTCTCCATTAATCGGGCCCTGAGGCTTTTATTTTGTGTTTTGGTAGGTAGGTGTTTACACAGAGTCCCACTGTGTAGTCCAGGCTGGCCTTGAACTATGTAGTAGCCAAGCTGACTTTGAACTCCTGGCAATCCTCCCGCCTCAGCCTCTCATGTGCTGAGACTACAGGTACCTGGCACTAAAGCTCCCTGAAATAAGGAGAGAGGCCATCCCTTGGTGCACTGTCATGAGGTGACATCCCACTACCTGCCCAGACTGAGTCAGGCATGAGAATTTTTACCCAACCCTTTTGGTTCTGCTGCAAGCTATAAGAGCACCCGATTTGAGTTTGATGTTAACTCCTTAGCAGCAAAGTGACGGGCACCTCTGCCTCCCTCAGAGCCATCCGGTCAGCTTGGGACCTAGCTCCATGCTGCTCTTGCTTTGCTGTATGCAGAAGTAACGAAGTGCCTAAGTGCATTTGCACTTGCTGTTTTCCTTAGCAGCCAGTCTTGTAAAGATGTAACAAGAAAAGCTCACGAGCTCGGTCATGGAGCTCGTAGCCATGTTGGACTCTAGACTCCTGGGAAATGTCTGCCTGCTCATCCAGTGCCAGCCATCCCGCGTAAAGATGTGTGGATGTGCCAGTTCTCTATGAACAGTAGGGTAGTGAAGGTGGGAAGATTCTCTGTGGGGGGCAACTGCAGCCTCAATGTTCAGTCCTTATAATTCTAAGAGGATGGGCTCTAGACATGAATCACTAATGCCTGGTCTAGTTAAGGCTGAGGTAGCAATGCCTAAGTCCCCAGGCTGACAGTGACCATACTCATGTCCAAATGCTCACTGCACAAGAGACAAAAGGAAAACAGTGAGTGAGAAAGCATAAGGGGCAGGGAGGAGTTTTGTAAGCCTAGACAGTGTCCCACCTTTCAGCAACTCTGGGTACTGAAGGACAATCCAATATTCTAGGGGAGATTTGTTAAAAACAATGGGATCAGTGGTGGCCTGGAATGATAACTAGAGTTACTGAGCACACAGGCTAAACAATCATCTACACAGGGCCTGGGAAGGTGGTCATGCTTTGAAAGAGCTGGGCCTATGACCTCATGATGCCCCAGGCAGCCTCTGTGAGTCAGTTTTTCATTACTATAATAAAATGTCTAAATCTGGGTAGTCTTATAAAGAAAAGAGGCTTATTAGTCCACAGTTGGGAAGCTGAAAGCCAAAGGTCTGTAGAGCCATTGATCGGCCTCTGTGAGGGCCTCACAGCAGATAGCATCATGGTGACAGCAGGCAATGAAAACAGGAGATCACATTGCCAGACAGGAGCCCAGAAAGGAGGTCAGGAGCCAGGATAGGATCACTCGGAGCAATCTTGTGAGAACTAACTCAGGGTTCTCTGGCAGCTGGTTTAATTTCTTCAAAGGCAGCAACATCAAGAACCTAATGACTTCTGGCAAGACAGTTTCTTCATGCTGTTTCTGCCTAGGAATCAGATGACCCTAAAATGAATACATGAAACTGTAACCCAAAATAAATCTCTTCTCCTTCAAGCCAAAAGTGTTCACAATCTTATCTCAGTAGTGCAGAAAGTGACTAAGTCCCGATTACACATTCTTCACAATGCAGCACAGACACCACGAACAACTGTCGCCCCATTCTCAACCCATAATTTGATGCTTGGCTTAGATTGCCCACTCTTACCACACCATCTGTGGCACAAACTCAGAGTTCAACTTTGTACACACCATGTACAGATACTTACCCACAAGAAAATTCCATTTGATCTTCTGCTCAAGAAATACCACCAGAATGAACAAAATGCACTTCAGTGAATAAAGTCACAATGGTTAAAAAATTCGACAACAATAAACTACTGAATGCGCCCTATGTGCCAGGCACTGCTCTAAGTGCCATACATATCTTAATTTATTTACTCTGCAAAGCAGCCTTCCAGTGGGAGCATACGCATTGGCCCCATGTTCACACATGCAGAAAAAGAGGCAGATGGTTGCTATATTCTGTTAACTGGAACATAAAGGCAGAGGGTTCATTGGCAGTGCGTGTTCTAAAGCCCTTCTAGTGGGCTTTCCCAGCTACAGAGACCAGAAATGGGAGAGCTTCCAGGCTTGCAGCTCTGGCTCCAGACATACTTAAGGAGAGCTGGTGAAGAATACCCAGTAATCACACATAACCTGTAGCAGCCTGGTTTGTGCCTAAACTCTGTCTCAGGGCTGGCCAAATAGCTCAGTGGATTAAAGCACCGGTAAACAGGCACAGGGGCCAGAGGTTCAATCCCCAGGACTGCCATGCTGGCCCCGCCCCCAGGGCACACTGAGATGGCAATTGAGACTGGACGTGGTAGTGCACGCCTGTAATCCCAGCTCTTGGGAGGTTGTAAACAAGCAGATCACTATGAGTGTGATCTAGTAGTGAGACCCTGAACACACTGTAGACCCTTCCCTAAAGTACAAAAATAAATAAATAAATAAATAAATAAATAAATAAATAAATTGTCTCACCACTTGTGATTGGAAGTAGGGGTGGTGAATTATTTGTAGAGAACATGGAATGTGCCTGGCACAAAACAAGACCTATGTAAGTGCTTCTTCCTCTTCTTCTTCTTCCTCTTCCTCCTCCTCCTCCTTCTTCTTCTTCTTCTTCTTCTTCTTCTTCTTCTTCTTCTTCTTCTTCTTCTTCTTCTTCTTCTTCTTCTGTCTTCTCATTCTTCTCCTCTACTTCCTCTTCCTCTATTCCTTTCTTTTCTTTCTATCTTCCTCTCTTCCTCCTCTTCCTTGTTTCCTCCTCTCTTCTTCCTCTTCCTCTCTCCTCTTCATTCTTTCTCTTCATCTTCCTCTTTCTCCTCTGTTTGTCCATATTAGATTCCAGATGTGATTAGCACTCATTTAGAATTAGATAGAAATATTATAGGCAGTCAGACAGGGTCAGACCCTCAAGGAGACAAGATGGAAGACAAGGTGACTTTGCAACTTGGAAGAGACAGACACTCCCATATGGGCCACACCTCAAGATCAAGACAAGAGAGGAAACACAGCTACATATTTCCCTAGGGATGGGCATCAGGATTAATATTCTAAATAGGTATCAATCACCTTGAAAGAGCCCAAATGAGTCACTAGCCCAACCCCCAACAGGAAGAGATCCTGTCCTATATTCATGCCCACTTGCTGCATGACTCACTTCCCCATTTGGTACTGGATTTAATCAATTTTGCCTGAGAAATGGTGTTTGAAATCTCATTGGTTGACCATAGTTTTGTACAACCTCATGCCCACCTAAGCAAGCTCCCATGTCTTCTCCACCACCTTAGACCCACCTTACCACATGGTTTTACTCTAAAAGTCCCTGGGAGAGACAGCTTCCCGAGGACAACCTGCTCGGTGCCCCCCCCCCCTTTCCCTCTGTTGGACAGGAGCTTTCTTTCTCCCCAGTAAATCTATTCTGATCATTATAAAGACTCACTTAATGCTAGTACGGGTGGTACAGCAAGCTGTAAGGCTCAGTTGGTGTGTCAGTGTGATCCATTTTACCCCAACAAGAAACAGCAGCAGGAATGAGGAAAACAAGAACAAGAAGACAGAGCAAGGTCAGGTGGCGGCCCGTCTGCCTTTTGGGCCAGACACCCCCAGAACAACAGTATGGGCCTTTATTTATACTTTTACAGAGTTGCAAGGCATAAGGCTGCCTAGCGACTAATAGCCCACAGTGTCCAGGCAGGATGTTTTCCCAAGACTGAGGTAGCTTGACTGCTGTAGGCAATGAGACCTCATCCTGCCCTCCCATATATGACTGATTTCAGCTTTTTTTTTTACTTTAGGTCTACAGGGTGTTCAGGGTCTCACTATTAGAATGGACTCATAGTGATCCACCTGTTTACAGCCTCCCAAGAGCTGGGATTACAGGTGTGTTTAGTTTTGTCAGAGAAGGGTATTCCATTGCCATTTAAATATTGTAGGTACATGAATTCAGCAAAATAATCCAATATAGTCCAGTAGTCCATAATAGTAGTGGCTTATCCGTAGGACTGGCAATGTCAGAAGTTGTTGACTTGAGCCTTTTATAGCTCAGCATATTGATATGGCTTTACTTTTTTTTTTTTTTTTTTGCGGAACCAGGAATTGAACTCATGCCCTTGCACTTGCCAGGGAAGCACTTATTCTATTGAGCCATCTCCCCGGCCCCAGCTTTACTTTTTATACCTCATTTTTATACTTTTCTGCTGGATGGTTTAGACCGAGATAAAGCAAGACCTATATAACAAGAAATGTAACTTTTGTATCTGGCAAGGTCAGTCAAATCCCCTTAGGATTTACCCTGAAGCCCTGTACCACAGTTTGTGGATCCTTTGTCAGTGTCAGCCATGTGGATGGACCACAGCCATTGTATCTTATACTATGAATAACTACTATGAAGACAACAATATGCAATGTATTAATTATTGTAACTGTCCTACCAACCTTGAAACTGTCTCATCGCCATTTGTTTTTCTATAAAGTTAATAAAAAATAAAATGTAAAAATGTAAAAAAAAAAAAATCACAATAGATCCTGCAAAAAGAAAAGAAACTG